CTTAATTATTATATACTCTTATATGCATATATAATATGTAAAAAACAATATTATCCATAATGACATTTATTGCACCCCTCATTGGATAAGATATATAAAAGATACTATAAGGTTGTAATAAGACAGATTTATATTATGAGAATTAATAAACATTACATGTCCTTACAATGGGGATATAAGAATTATAGCTCTTAGGAAAGTCTATAATGGTATATATTGCACCCCTCTTCTGATATGGCATAATACTTCTTCTGCTATCTTATAATCCTTAAATAAGTTAATTTACAGCTTATATCTTATCTGAATGGCTTATTATACAATATATATTTTATTTAAATATTTTATTCTTTACTAACAACGCTGAACAGTACATAATATTAACACATTATAACAGAAACAAAACTATCACTACCTTAGCAAACCACAACAACTGATAGACGTACCATGGGTATTCATCTCCTTGTGCTCTTTCTTCCTCTGCTTTGCAAGTTCGCCCCAGTATTTACGTTCCTCTACAAACAGTGAACGCCGTTGGTATGAGATTGTTTTGGAGAGGTCAGCTCGACACTGATGTCGTGCGACCAGGTCGTCTTCTGCAGGTAGTGCAGCCTCTGCCTCGTTCTTTTTCAAACAGCATTCGTGACGGAAGACAATGAATGCGTTCTTGGGTCGTTTGATGTGGTCTTAGTCACTAAGACTTAGTCGTTGCTCAGTCCCTGCAAGTTGAATTGCATGTGCCTGTCGGTTGTAAGGTTGTACGTGTTGTGTAGGTTGAGGTTGTGCTTGTGAGAGAAGTTGTGAGACTGTCTGGCTAAAGGTGTGAGCATGAGTATTGGCATTGACGTGAGTGGCTAACTGGAGCAAGGAGGTGGATGTATCATGATAGTGTGTAGCGAGTGTGAGTGGTGCACCAGGGTTGTGATCCAGAGCGTTGAACGAGATGATTTGGGCTGCAGGCAAAGCTGTGTTTGTACCTGCACGTTACATGCTCTGACTATGTCTTGCAATCAGAGGTACAGTGAACTGAGTTGTTCAAAGGTGTATCTCTGGGACGTTCTGGCTCGAAGGGAGGAGGAGAAGTGGAAGGTGTGGACAGACTCAGCTCAGGAGGGGTGAGTGGTGGGCCACTGCTTCCGTTATTCGAAACAGTGTCATGAACAGCACTAGGTAATGTAAATGCACGTCAAGCATGGAATGGTGGATGGGGAAGGAAAGTATGCAAGGGGTCAGAGAGAGGATCTCACCTTGGGAGTGGTTGTACATAGACATTGTTGCAAGTGTGTGCTTGCCGATTATTGCTTGTGCTGCAGAGCAGGAAGAAGTACACAAATGTATAGAATTATTGAAGAAATCGTTCAGCATTGGAAACAATGTGGATGCACGAATGCGAATTCAAAAAGGAAGGCAAACTAAAAGAAAAGGAGGACAACAAAGGAGAGGCAACTGCAGAGGAGCAGAAGGGAGACAAAAAAGTTGGGGAGAGAGAGATGAGCATCTATTGTAGTGCTTATTATGAAATGGACTGGCTGCTTACACTTTATGTTGAAGGCAGGAGGGGATGCTGAAGTCAGCTGTATGGTATGGTATAGTATGGCATGGTATATTACTGGCATAGGTCCCTAAAAAAGAAACGCTAGGGCTGGGTTGTGTTGTTGCAGGATCTGAGCTCAACACAGGCATTACAATGACTGATTAGAGAGACAAGTGTAGCAATGTTTATTGTCTACATAGTTACAGGCAGTGTGCCTGCTGGCAAGTAGAGGACTGGACTGGAGGGAACAAAAGTAACAAGTGCCACCATTCACAGGGCAGAGGGTTGAGGGTAAGCAGAGGTCAAAGGCAAGCAACAAGGGCAAGTGTGGCACTCAAGATTTAAGTAAAGTCCCATGTGATATTCAACCATTACATAAGCTAAGTAACTCACTTTATATTTACTATACTATTATAATATACATGTTACATTTAAGTGCTATACATTTATTAAGTTTATAACCTCTCAAACAGAGTTTCTATTTATTATAAACATTAATAGAACTTTAGTACACATTATAAGTGTAGAAAATGCTTTTATATTACATTATATAGTAGACACAAGTCTTTTTCTTCAAGTAAAATACTATAATAAAGTATTTACTCTTAATATATTTCTGTTAAAATATA